TCCTGGTAGCTCAGCATCCAATATATCCACTCTCCCTCTGTGAATCTCCAAATCATCTCAGCCTTGCCTCTCTAACTTTGTCTCCAACCTGCTCAGTGCTCATGTACTTATTTCTAATCTTGTCCACTCAAAAAATCAAATCCAGCTCCTGTTTTTTTTGTCAGCGCCACCATTTCCAAACCTCACAGCATAGCGTTCCTTTCACTTTCACTTCTTACCTTGTAAGCTTGCCGCTGACTTTTATATAACTGCCTCCAGACTGTTACATTCAAAATGCACATACAGATATTTGTATATATCGTTTTTATTTATTTTATTTACTTATACAGTATAATACAATCTTTGTGCTCTGTGTAAAACACTACAGTCTTTTCTTGTCTGATTTATATACTGAATGAAAGTATAAGAAATCTGATCAGTCAATCTAATAACAATCTTAAACAGCTTGAAGAAATTCCTGAAGGAATTATCTCAGCCTGTGTTCGAGTCTTTGTGTGTGTTCATCTCCTGTGTCATCCCAGTCAGTGTATGATGACACAGTTGTGGACCTCCCACTACAACCTTTTTTAGTGGCATATCATCTCTCAGCATTAGTGACATGCTTCACCTTGTCCCATTAAAACATGCTGCCTTGGTCCCGGTTTTTGTATTGACATTTTTGGATTTTGGTTTCACTTGTTCGATTGGCTATTCCTTTTATTTAAAAAGTCAGCCTTCTTTATTATTCTCACATTCAACCTGTCTGGCTTTAATTTTACTTTAAAGAATCTTAAAAATGAAAGCAACACAAACTTCAGTTCCTCTACTGGTCATTTGAGGCTACTGTCCAACTTTACAGCAGAAATGAACAGCTTTAAAACTTGATGAAAATTGAGATATGACTGTGGAGTTATGGCTGTGGCCATGATTGGCACATGCACAGGCAGCTTGAGCCAATCAAATCAATTTCAATTCAATTTTATTTATGTAGCACTAAATCACAACACCACTCACCTCAAGGCACTTTATATTGTATGTTAAAGACCCCCTTTCGGCAAGCACTTGGCGACAGTGGGGAGGAAAAACTCCCTTTTTTAAAGGAAGAAACCTCCAGCAGAACCAGGCTCGGGGAGGGGCGCCCATTTCCTGCAACTGGTTGGGCGTGAGGGGAGGAAGACAGAATCAGAAGAGTATGCTCGACCTTATCCACTACTTCAAGTCAAAACTGGACATGAGTTAGATTATGTGGTTATTAATTTTATCACTAATTTATACCTGTGCATTACATTTATACAGTTTATGAGCTCACCGAAATTAGCTGGTCAATTATCCATATAAGGCAAGTCTTGTTGAAAAAACCCCGAGATGGTATGGGTTAAACTTATCCATGGAGGTACTTCGGATGTCACAAAATTACCTGGATAATTCAGTTTCCTCACTTCATCAGCCCTCAGGTTGTTCTGTTGCCATCTGGCTGCAGTTGTGTTATGGGAGCCTGTGCTACTATCACAGTGGTTTCTGAGTGTCTGTCCCTCTTTCACACTGCCATTAAGGAGATACTGTGCAACTCTCCATATATTTAAACATGTTTTTCACACAGATGAAAGTGAGAGTTTCTCTGTTGTCCTTTACAGTAGTTTGAAAAAATGTTTTCTTGATCAAGTTCGACTGTCAATCCATCAAAATCTAAACGCCTCTCGGTCACACTGACTTTTTGAAGTGCTCATTTACACACAGATGCACACACAAACAGATACTCGTTTGCAGGCTTCACCTTTATCGGTCAGAGCTGATGCGTGACGCTGCACTTTCACGGATCACTGTTCAAGGTTTATCTGCAGGGGTTTGTACTGGGGCGCCCTTGGGCTGCCTATCAAAACGTGTTTGAACGATACTCAATGTTTATTTTACTTGTCGTGAATGAACAATATGATGTTGTGCTTTTGGTGTGAAGCATCGTTGCACTTGTGTCCAGTCAAAGTTTTGTGATACAGTGAAATCACCAGGGAGCTGCTTTGAGTTTCAGAAGAACTTGCTGAATATGTCAACTAAGAACAACTTTGTTGCTGGTGTTATGACTTTCAATGAGTCCGGCTGGTAGCACAACCTAAAGTGCTCTCCAAGGAAGAATTAAATTCTTTTTAATCTTCCACCTTCCAACATATTTCATTGTAATATATATATATATATATATCTATATCTCACTCACACACACACACACACACACCTGTTTTTTTTTTTACATTGACTGCTTTTTCACAAATTTTCAGTCCACTCCTTCCACCTGACCATTCACCACAGCATGTGTGTGTTAGGTTTGTAAGTACAGCAGGTACATTCAAACTCCATTTCATCTCTCAGCATCAGTGAGACGTTTCACCTTGTCTCACAAAAACACGGTTTCTGTTTGCATTGCCCTTTAGTTTTGCAGTGCTTTGAGTTTCTTCTGCATCATTTCTTATCATGTTTTCCTTGTCAAGTTTTCACATTCTGTATAAGTTATTTGTCTTTGGTTACTTCCCATTTTACTCTGAAGGTTAGTAAGTATATGTATAAATATTAATTGTGTTTCATGTAGGCAGGTTTTATCATTAAAAATGTAACTACATAAAACCAAGAGCTCCATCTAAGACTCTAAAGGCCAGGGAAAGCCTCTTCTCTCTAAAAAGCGCATCTGAAGAAACCACAAGACTGGAACAATGTCTTATGGACAGATGAGACCAAAGTGGAGATGTTTGGTATAATGCACAAAACCAAACACCTCATATCAGCTGTCAGCACTCTGGTGGAGGGGTCTTTGAGCTTGTTTTGGAGAAAGAGGCCCTGGACACCTGGCAGTGATGGATTTGACCATGAACTCCACTGTATACCAAAGTTGTCCATAGTCAAATGTGTGGATATCTGTTTCACAGCTAAAGCTTGTCTGAAACTGACCCCAAGCACAGCAGCAAATGAGTGAAAAGCAATGAATCAGAGCTGTACATAAATGAAAGCCCACAAACCTCAGTGAACTGAAGAATGAGACAAAATTCCTCCACTTATAAAGTTGCATAAAAACTCATAAAAACTTATTTCACAGGACTGTATGTGCAGGGAGTGTTTGATGCTTGTGAGAATAACAAAAGAGTATTGCACTTTGATTTTCAGGTTGTTAACATTTGAAAGTACAATGAGTGTCTTTGATTTTTTGGTTGTTTTAAATGAACCAGAAGGAAAATAGATTCAAAGCTGTCATTTTCCATTTCCCCTCAAAAATCCCCACACACCTAAAAATCATTGGGAAAAAAAAGGAGTAAAAATCACTTTGCAGGGGCAGTTTAAACTTAAAATGTAAGTTTGCCTCCTTAAATTTTATACGAACTTCTGCAACGGCACAAAAGGCACTCTTTAATCCCTAAATTTTTCCTTTCAAAATTGCTTAAAAACAGCTAAAATTACTTTGTAAGACATAGTGTCAAAGAAATGGAAGTGTGACAGTCAACTGATGAAGACTTCATTATAAGGGGACTTTTTATTTAGTCTTATTTTCTTCTTTTGTGGAGAAAAATCTACATATTTCAGTTCACTGGAGGCTTGTTTAGATTCTACTGATAACAGACTTAAACAGCAAAGCAAAGGGAGAAAAGGTCTAAAAATTCATGAGTGCTGGCAAAGAAGAAACAGCAGAGAGAAGACAAACAGATAATTTTATTGACTTTCTCCTGTCTGAGGTGATGTTTTTAGTATTTAACAAACAAAGAAAGCTATTAATCGACACAGTGCGCCTCTCAGATGTCGACAAAAGCTGTTTTCTGCTGCGGTACTGAGCATTTCTCTCCATTTGACTAAAGCGCTTACACAGCTCTAATGAAGTGCCACTCTTAAAGTTAGCGAGACACACTGACCTCAGCTGTATCCAGATAATTAATAATATTCGCTTCAATATGATGTACACTGCAGCCCTCGGGACTTGTAAAGCAAAGTAATGTGGATTGTAATTAAAGTCCTGACTGTGTGACAGAAGGGATAGGTCGAGGTTTAGAGACTACAAGGTCAGCGATAGATATTAAGCAAAAAAAAGAAAGTTAAATGCACTTTTCTAGGGGCTGGATATGGTACAAAAGTCTTGAGCCACCCTCGTTTCTTTCTATTTCGCTTCCAAGCAGCCAGATTTTCTTCTTGAGCAATAGTTCTCCAGAATTTCTGAAGGTCTTTGAAACTATTTCTTTGGACATTGGCTGTTTTTTCACTCACTTTCAGTCCAGTCTTTGTGCCTGATCATTTTCAAAGGACTGTTAATGTTTGTTAAGGCAATTAACACTGACGTATGAATCATTTAAGCATCAAAAAAGATTTCACCTTAACACTGAAAAATGGTTTCAGTGGAAAGGTGGCTGGCAAGAAACTCTTCTTAAGGAAAGGAAACAGGGAGAAAAGCCTGATGTATGAAAATTACACAAGAACTAGAGTGAAAATCAGTGATAACGGGGCTGATGGACTGATGAATCTAAATCATCGTCAGTATGTACAGAGAAGTCATAACTGGATAGAAAAACACACAGTGGAGCACTATCAGTCATGGATTGGCCTCCCCAGGGCCCGGACCTCAACATTATTGAAGCAATGTAGGATCATGTTGACAGAGAACAGAACAAAAGGCAGAAACATCCAAGAAGAGCTTTAAATGTCCTTCAAGAAGCCTGGAGAACTATTTCTGAAGACTACTGTAATGAACCACGGCAGACCCGATGACATATTTATGCTTTTAAGCATCTCTTTATGAACACAGTTGCTTATAAACATACGAACAGCCACAGCTCTCCCACTGCCAACCGCACACATCACCAACCACAACAACGACATGATAGGACCCCGTTCAGTGTTTTAACCCAGAGAGGCGTGATTGCAGATGCTCCGCAAGTGCATCTGCCTTCCCTGCCCTGGCACCACCGACCACGCCCCGCTACAATTCCTTAAAGAAATTATAAGAAAGCTGCCTAAGACAGATCAGACTGTGCTAAAGAATAAAAGTGGTCACACCAAATTTTGACTTTCAGGCTCATTAGGATAGTTGATACTCTGTTTTTGCTGGCCAATAAACTGTTACACCCATTTTCCATTTTCCTTCCAAAATATGAAGATGTATTAAGAGGGTGGCTCAAGACTTTTGCAGTTTGATAGAAACCACATGAATCGCATAAACGACTATGTAGCGGATAAATGGATCACTACACTATGGATACTGAAGCACCCTCCACAATGGCTCGTTAGATTTATGAACTTGAGCCGTTAGTAGGATGAAACTATTTCTGGGTTTTAAGACGTATTAATATTCAGCTCCATCTAGATCTATGCAGCTGAAGATATATGACTTCCATATTTGGAGCCAGGGGTATTTTTCATCGTAAAATCTGTACGAACAGATAACAGGATCTCACTGTGAGGAATGTGTTATGCCTGCAGACTGTTTGAGCAGATTGGCGGAGAGCTTTCAACAACTCCCTTGAAACTGAGTAGGGAATACTTTCAGGTGTGACTACCTACAAATTGCTACCCTGTCAGTGCACAGTGTCTCTCAGTTACGATCTACCCTTTGATTATTACTCGTTACTTAAAATAAATGAATAAATGAATAGAACAATACACACATAACGGGTGAGATCACAGCTATGTCCATATTTTCTGGTTGATTTCTGTCCAACTATTTTTAATGAGCATCAACTTGTACACAAAAAAGGTCATATATTGAAAAATATGGTTTTATGTTAAGTCTAAATAAAATAATTATTCCAGTAAAAACCAGTGTGTGTGTCAACAGGCATGAAATTTGTGTGATGCAATCCAAATTAATAGATGAAAACAAACAAAAACACATGTTTTCAGGTTATTGCCTTATTTGTCACCACTTCTTTTTCTGCGAGTGCTACAAGTCAAGCCGCTCCTAATTGGTGTGAATTCCACAGTCAAGTAGTTGGAAGTGTAAAAACCTGTGGGTGGGGTCCACTTTGGTTAAGCTGCTTTCAGATGTCAGGCGCAGCAGGAAGAGACTGAGGAAATTAAAAAACAACAATCATGCACCCACCGTGCAGGGGAAGTGCAGATTCAATGAGCCTACATGTTGACAACAGATTAAATCATGTCGATATCGAGTTTGTTTAAAGGGGACCTGTTATTCTTTCACTTATATCCAGCAATATACACTGTTACACTTGTAAATGCTCATAATAAACATGGTTAAAATTTCAAGTAAATCACTCAGAACACAATTAAGGAATCCTTATGTACAAAATGCTCAGACTTCAGACTGCTCTAAATACTCAATTTTGGACTGTTTTTTCTACTTGTTACTCTGAAAGATGTCATACAAAGCCAATGTCCCTATTATATAGCACCAAATTATGACAACGCTCGCCTCAAGGCGCTTTATATTGTAAGGTTAAGAACCTATAATAATACAGAGAAAGCCACAACAATCCAGTGACCCATGTGAGCAAGCACTTGGCGATAGCGGGGAGGAAAATCTCCCTTTTAGCCGGAAGAATCCTTGAGCCAAATTAGTTGTGGCCGACTAGACTTTCCAGAATCTGAAATTTGATGAAACATTTCGTGTGTGCAGTTTAGTTAAGCAAAAATAGAGAAAGAGACGATCAGTTCAGTTCTCAAACTGAACTTTGTTTTTGTGGCAGGAATTTATCATATTTCTTCTTCCAAAAGTTACAAACTCATCAACATTTGAAGCAAAATGAGGGCTCAAGTGTGAAATGTAATTCTGGGCTGCCAAGCCACCTTAAATTGACAGTGCAGGGGTGTCACAGGGGTTCCTACAGCCATCAAATCCTCTCTACAACACCTATATCCTTTATGCATTGCATCATTAAGCATACATCATCTTAACATTAGGAGGGAAACATATATCAGTTTTAACAGAGATTAACAGCTACTACAGCTAATTTCTCTGCTGTTGCCCCTAAAGGTCCCCCTGCTTCTTCTTTTTTTTTTAAATGCATTAAACAAAATCAAACTTGGATATTTTTCTGTGAAGCCATGGGAATTATTTGTCGAGGAGCTCATTTCTGTTTCACACTCAAGTGGCTCTCAGGTTCTCCTCAGCTGGTAGCTGAACTTCTATAACTTGGTGTGATATGCAAACTTTTGAGGTGTGTTAAATACACTGGAGTGAGAAATAAGGATCTGACATCTTTTGTTATTAAAGAAGTAAAATATCTGAGTCTGAGCTGTGTCTTTCTTTTTGTTTAAAGCCTGCACTTGATGATGACAGCAACATTTTAAAACCTCCTCCTTAAATCTTTGTGCCTTCACGCCTGTCACTTCTCAGTATTTCTCGCTGTAAACATATTCATCGCCTCTCTGTCATTTGTATTCATCGCTGCACTTTGATCCATATTCATCCTAAAACACGCTGCTCACTGTGTCGTAGTCCTTGCTCATGTGAGAAGTGCTGGGCAGTGATTTGAGGTACTCCATGTGCCTTCTGGCGTCCTCCTGATTGTGTTTGATGTAGTAAATGATGTAAGCTGTCACCATGGAGAACCAGCAGAACATGGCCACAAACATGGCTACGTCAGTCGTCTTGTGGTGGAAGTTGCAGAAGTTGATCCCTGAGTCCAGGACCTGGATCACCGGCTGTCCCACGTACTCCTCCTGCTCTGACGTGAAACAGCTGACCTCGTTCACCGTCTCAGGGTCGAGCCTCAGCTCCCTCAGTGTCTCCTGCAGTGAGCACTCGCAGTGCCAGGGGTTCTGGGAGAGGCGGATTCGGGCGTGCAGCTTGGTGAAGGTGTCCCTGGGGAGGCCGCTCAGATGGTTGTTTGAAAGATCCAAGGTCCGCAGGGCTTCGGAAACCCCCTGAAAGGCATCGACCTCCACGCTCTCCAAGACGTTGTGAGATAGATCCAGCTCCCTGAGGCGGTGAAGGTCAGCGAAGGCTCCTTTTGGGACGTGTCGGATCTGGTTCGACGAGAGCAGGAGAACCACAGTGTCCTTGGGTAAGTTCGGCGGGATGCTTTCCAGGTTGCGCGAAGTGCACTGCACCACCATGCCGTTCCTCTCTGTGCAGTGGCAGAGCTTAGGGCAGGCATAGGCGGTCATCATCAAAGAGAAGAGAAGTGTTCCCACAAAGAAAAGAGAACTAAAAGAAGAAGGGTTTATGGATGACCTGCACCTTTGAGAGGCCCCCATTAGCCAGCGTTAGGACTGAAATCAGTGCTGCTGGTATGAGGGTGTGTTGCTTTAGAGGCATGAAATACATTCAAGCAAAGGATGTGGCTACAGTTTCATTCTCAACATTCGCTTGAACATCGTTTATTCTGACAGTTAACTGATCCATCTCAAAAGAAGGCAAACGTTTGAAAGTTTGCATACTTGCTAAATGAAATTTCACAGTGAGGTATGGATGATGTAACCCAGAGACAGTACACGGTGGGAAATGTAGTCCATGGTGGGAGGGACACCTCTTCTCCGCCCGGCTGCAAGAAACCTGTGAGAAAAAAAAGATGACAGTGAAACAAAGGGTGAAAAAGATATCGCGGCCCCTTCATCTCACAGCCTCTTTCCAGGAAAAGTAAATAAATAAATAAAATCCTCCCCCTCTTCTCCGACTCCTTCCTCCTTGGAGGGGGAAGTTGGTAAAGTTCAAGATTATCATAATAATACAAGATTTTCTATAGCATGGGTCCCTCAACTCAAAATCTGTCCCCGCGAGAAAACGACAAGTCATTAAACAAGGTGTGGGCTCATCAATATGCATCAGATGAACTTTGAAAAACAGTGATTTGTGATTAAATAAGAAGTTGCCTGTAGTCTATAAGGTTAGCAGTGATGTATGTGAGAGCATCGAAGGTCGGGATGCAAATTAAAACCCTCTACAGGATGCACTGTATTCAGGCCGATGACAAGGTGCAGACTGAGTGATAAGCAGCTTTTTGATCAAGACTGTGAGTCTCAAACAAGCTGCTGTGTAATGGCTTCTGAATGATGTTCATACGATAAGCTAATGTTTCAGAAACTGCGGTGCCCTTTTGGAAATTACAGGGATATTAACGTGGGTGTAGCAGAGATAAGGATGCAGGAAATAAAAAAGGATATTACAGGTGTAGATGTTATTAAATGGGGGCATAATTCGGAGATAAACTCTCAGAAATTTCAGCTAATTGAGTTTAAATTTCCTTTAAAGCATCTACCTTCTATTTTTGTTCTTTATTTGATATTTTACACGATAAAGTATATTCTAAATGGCAAACTTAATTAATTTGTTAATGTTAATGTTAATGTAAAAAGTATCTGATTAACTGATATATTAATTAACAATTACAACAATAAATGCCCAGCTCCCCTTAGGAATACCATAGAAACACTTTTGCATACATTATTATTCCTATTCATGATAAAGTAATCTTATACTGATCAATACAGGCAGAAATTTTTTTTTTTCTATTTTGGTCTCATTTGGCTTAACTATTTTAAACTAAATTTGGAGTTGGTAACTTACCTGACAGCTTCACTCTGTCCTGCTGGATTTTAAACGGACCGGAGAAACATCCAGGAGTAAATCACCGCCTCATCCTCTGCAAACAAACAGACGTCTCCGCTCAGAATCTAGCTGAGAAAAAGCAGCTGCTTAAAGAGTCCAGCAGTTTAGTCAGGATCTCCTGTCTGTGTATTTGCAGCAGCAGCAGCAGCGGTGAGTCTCTCTCTCTCTCTCTCTTGCTCTCTCTCTCTGTCTGTGTGTGTGTGTGTGTGTGTGTGTGTGTGTGTGTGTGTGTGTGTGTGTGTGTGTGTGTGTGTGCGCAGAGATGGAGAGGTGAGGTAGCACCGCTGGAGCCCTGGTTCTTCCTTTGTTTGCTTCCGGGAAATACAGCACTTGGAAGACTCCGGGAAAACGTACACAACACAGAAAGTTTTTTGTGTAGTGTACAGTAGCACTGTATATTACCGCTTTGTAGGCTGACACACTAAAGTTGATAATCATTTCATGATAGATTCTAGCATTTTTTAAATATGGAAGAAAAAAATCTGTCTAATCTTTAAGTAGAAATTTTGAGGGGTCCCGCCCACAGTGATAGAAAAATGTGTTTTCTTGTTTTCTTCCAACTCAAAGGGATTAGAAAATAAATTAATTCAGAATATATACAGTTGTGGTCAAAAGTTTACATACACTTGTAAAGCATATAATATAATGGCTCTACCGAGTGTCCCGTTATTTCTAAAACTCTGATTTTTCTCTAATAGAGTGATTGGAACAAATACTTCTTTGTCACAAAAAACATTCATGAAGTTTGGTTCTTTAATGACTTTATTATGGGTTAACAGAAAAAAGTGATCACATCTGCTGGGTCAGAAATATACATACAGCAGTGCTAATATTTGGTTACATGTCCCTTAGCCATTTTCACTTCAATTAGGCGCGTTTGGTAGCCATCCACAAGCTTCTGGCAAGCTTCTGGTTGAATCTTTGACCACTCCTCTTGACAGAATTGTTGCAGTTCAGTTAAATTTGATGGCTTTCTGACATGGACTTGTTTCTTCAGCATTGTCCACATGTTTTCAATGGGGTTTAAGTCAGGACTTTGGGAAGGCCATTCTAAAACCTTTATTCTAGCCTGACTTAGCCATTCCTTTACCACTTTTGATGTGTGTTTGGGGTCATTGTCCTGTTGGAACACCCAACTGCGCCCAAGACCCAACCTGTGTGCTGATGACTTTAGGTTATGTTGAAGAATGTGAAGGTAATCCTCCTTCTTCATTATCCCATTTACTCTCTGTAAAGCACCAGTTCCATTGGCAGCAAAACAGCCCCACAGCATAATACTCCCACCACCATGCTTGATTGTAGGCATGGTGTTCTTGGGGTTAAAGGCCTCACCTTTTCTCCTCCAAACATATTGCTGGGCATTGTGGCCAAAAAGCTCGATTTTTGTTTCGTCTGACCACAGAATTTTCCTCCAGAAGGTCTTATCTTTGTCCATGTGATCAGCAGCAAACTTCAGTCGAGCCTTAAGGTGCCGCTTTTGGAGCAAGGGCTTCCTTCTTGCACGGCAGCCTCTCAGTCCATGGAGATGCAAAACACGTTTAACTGTGGACAATGACACCTGTGTTCCAGCAGCTTCAAATTCTTGGCAGATCTGCTTTTTGGTGATTCTTGGTTGACTCTTCACCCTCCTGACCAATTTTCTCTCAGCAGCAGGTGATAGCTTGCATTTTCTTCCTGATCTTGGCAGTGACGAAACAGTGCCATGCACTTTATACTTACAAACAAATGTTTGCACTGTTGCTCTTGGGACATGCAGCTGCTTTGAAATGGCTCCAAGTGACTTTCCTGACTTGTTCAAGTCAATAATTAGCTTTTTCAGATCCATCCTTTGACTTTCCCATTGTAGCGTTTGTGGGCGTTTGTATCCAATGAGCCCTATTTAACTGGCCTAAGAGAAGTCACCAGCTGTCGTCACTCATAATCGCTCACAAGCAGTTAAGAGGCCATGCTATGAAGCTCAGTTCACTGACAACTTTCTAAGTCACCAAAATTGCTAATTCATGTTGCCGTATGATTATTTTTGACCCAGAAAATGTGATCACCTTTTTCTGTTAACCCATAATAAAGTCATTAAAGAACTAAACTTCATGAATGTTTTTTGTGACAAAGAAGTATTTGTTCCAATCACTCTATCAGAGAAAAATCTGACTTTTAGAAATAACGGGACGCTCGGTAGAGCCATTATATTATATTCTTTACAAGTGTATGTAAACTTTTGACCACAACTGTATATATATATATATATATATATATATTAGGGGTGCAACGATACACAAAATTCACGGTTCGGTTCGGTTCGATACTTTGGTGTTACGGTTCGATATTTTTTCGATACAAAAAAAATGTTCATGCCTTTTTAATTTGTCATTTATTAAAATTATAAATATATATTTTAACTCAAAAGTACAGTTTTTAAATTTAACCCTAACCCTTGTGCGTGTTTTTTATTTTGACAGCGAATGCGCACCTGCGGACCACTTATGTGCAGCCCTGGTTATTTAGCTCATCATATTGCAGCCACAGAAATTCTTTTGTCCATGAAACCATAAAGCTGCACTTTCTTTTTGCCTTATAGTCTGATTTGTCATAACTTCTCCGTTTTGTGGTAAGCTTTTCTTTGGCTGTCACTTCTTCACCCTGACCTGTCTTATTTGGCTCAGCAGAACTAAAATATATATCCTGCTGCTTTTACACACGCACTCACATAAGCTCAGCGATTCTCTGCGCGATCAACCTCTCACATGTTTAAGCTTGCTGCGGGAGATTTCACTTGTCATGTTTGCATAGTAAGCTAACGATTAATAAGACGATGTCAGAGGAATTGGTGCACAAATTATCATCACTCACAGATCGGTGCTGTCGCTCTCTATACACAGTTCGCATGATTGCAAAGTGAAAGCAAAAAAACAAGCGCAAATTCAAACGCAATTTCAATATGTCACATATTGACAGTGGCTCACCGATGCCAATGACATAATTACCCAGCTACATTTCTGAAAGAATGCAAAAGCATTGACATATATTTTTCCTTCCTACAATAGCCCGACAGGCAGGGAAGAGATAGATTTTGGTAGCCCGACTGAAAAAAATCGCTAGCCCCAGGACGTCGGGCTAGCGATATTGCAAGCCCTGTATCTGATTGAGGAATCACTCATCTTTGGAAAAGAGAGTTTATTACAGAGAAATGTCTCTTTCCAAAATAAAAGCTATACTATCCGCTTCTTCTGGGCTATATTCTCAGCAGCATAAGGAGAATCATGTGCTAACAGCTGTCTAAATGACTCGGCTAAAGTTAGTAGCATGCTTGTTGTTTTTGTCTTTGCACTAGGATGATGTCGGCGTAAATGTGCAGTCATATGTGTTGTGTTCCCACTAGTGTTTTCAGGTTAATCTCGTTGAAATGACCTTAACGCCACAACACGGCAAATCTCCGTTAACGAGCTACCGCCGATCGCCCCGTGCATGGGACTAGACGGCCAACACGTTAACGAGCTAACTGCGCTAACACACTAGTTCCCACCCATGTAATTGAGCATTGCACGGCACATCCAACATACTGTTTTACTTTAGTCCATGACTCGCTTACCTTCATGTCACATGAAAACCAAAATAATTCCAAACGCCAGATCTGAATGAGGGTGGGGGAGGTCCATGTTACAAGGAGAGCTTAACTTCTGTCTTGCTAGCTTGCCCTGCGCTCTTCCTTCTGACTATGCTGTCTGTGTTGAGCGCTCAGTGGATCTGCGCTCGACAGTGCAGCCTAGGCGGAGCAGTCGAACGCAGATTCACTGAGCGCTCAACACAGACAGCATCGTCAGAAGGAAAGTTGATAAAATAAATTACAAATGTTGTATTGTTCGATACATATGCGTACCGAACCGAAAGCACTGTATCGAACGGTTCAATATCGATACGAATATCGTTGCACCCCTAATATATATATATATATATATATATATATATATATATATTGCTAGGGCAATGCTTCATGGGCCACATGCCGAGCCCCCAACCGCGAGCAGTTATGCCTACCACGACTAGCCGCCAGACATAGTGGCTGGAGCGAAGAGGAGACTGCTACACACCTAGCGCTAGCATTAGAGGGAGATGCACTGCAGATACTCCTTGACCTAGCCCCGGCAGAGCAGCATGAGCTCCAGGCCCTCACCGCGGCACTCGAGAGGCGATTCGGGCAGCGGCACTCCACTGATCAGAGCAGAGAGCAGCTAGCCAACCGGAGCCGTCGACCAGGCGAGAGCCTGGGCACCTTTGCAGCAGACGTGTTGCTGTATGCTCGTCATGGCTACCCGGAGTTTTCAGCAGCAGCCCGTGAGGAGCTAAGCCTGTATGCTTTTCTGCGAGGACTTTTCCCAGAGCGACTACGCCAACATGTCCGCCTGGCCATGCCTCAGACCCTCCGTGAGGTGCTCCTTGAGGTTGAAAGGGCCGAGCCGGTGCTCACCTCGCGACCTAACCAGGAGGTGCCCCCCCCCAAATTACCCCCAAATCAGAGCCGCAGACTGCGACGGGGAGGGGGAGGTCGCCGAGATGTCCCAGCTGCAACCCTCGGTGCCCCGGAGGCATCCTCGTCGACCGCTGCTACCGGTGCGATGAGCCTGGCCACGTGGCGCGTGACTGCCCAGCACCAGCCCCGAAGACCGGAACTACGCAGCCTCAGGGAAATGAGGAGGGAGCAGTGTAGCGAGGGGACCACCGCTCCAGCTTCCTGCCCCCCTCCAAGGACGATGCACAGTGGTGGGCCGAGTTGGGCACCTCAAGGGACTCTACCTGAGCTGCTGTGTTGAGGACCTGCCATGCCAGGCCCTGGTGGACATGGGGTCTACCATTTCCCTGATACGACCTGGCGTGCTCCCTGAAACATCCGGGCCACTGGTGAAGCGTTGGTTGCCCACAGACACCCAGCTGATGACAGTGACGGGGGAGAAAACCGTTATGCGGGGGAAGAAACCGTTGCGGATCCTAGTGAAGGATCTAGAGCTGGTGCACGACTTCTGGCTCGCCGACATTCAAGACCAGTGCATCATTGGCCTGGATCTGCTGAGCCACTGGGGGGCCTGCGTCGACACCGCAAAGCTGGCTATCACTCTTGGCGC